TACCTAGGGATCCACCTTACGCAAGACCTGTTTGCGGAGGAGTTCAGCTGGAACTTATTCCTAGGAGAGTTCCCCTCTTATGGTGGAACTCTCTGTTCAAGATAGTTCTCTTAGCGATAGTTTGCAAAAAACAGCTTACCTCCTCCTTCTGTTTGTATTATGTATCTGTTCAATGTTGGGTGGGTGGGATGGACAAAATAGTTATTAATATGTGTTAGTTGATTATAAAGTGAATGATTTAGTAAGATGATGAATTGGCAATGCAATAAAGGAGACTTGTAGAAAAATGTAATGATCATAAATGCTGGTGAGAGAGAGGGGGAAGAGGAAATTAGGTACAAAGGAATAGTACCATTCCTGAAACTACTCTTGCGGGATTCCATGAGTTGTATAGCATATTACATCATGTGATTACTGATCATACTTAATTCGTCCCAGTATTTTGGAACAGACTTTCTAATAGGTCATGTCTCCTTTCGTCATTTCTCCCTCACAGAGTTACTTCTTCATGGAAAGGTCTTACATCTTGTGCCTTGTGAAAGAGGTAAGGTCTCAGGTTCAAGTCAACCTCCTTTATGGGTGAAAATTTCCACATCAGTTTCAAGACCAATTGGATGGCCAGGCAGCTAGTTTGATAGGACCAATTTGAGAGGTTGTATTTGGGTGGCCTTCTTTTGGACATTGCCTATTGGCTTTTTCAGCACGGCTATCTTCTCACAATTTCAATGTACAGTGGAGTCCTCTACCACTGGATCCCCATTCAAAATACATGGATGTGGGGGCTTGAGGGAAACCACAACCAGGCCACTTCATGACCCTTCTCAAACAGCTTACTCCTGCCAATTTAACCTACCACAAGGACAACTGTTTTTTCCAACAGGTAGTTGACTTTCCATCAGCACAAAAGAAAGGATTGGTATCTGCAACCCTGTGCCAGCAACGCACTGCACCACAGAAAGTGTGTTTTTTGGTGCATTGCTCCGCAACATGCAAAAAAACCCAGCCGCGGAAGCTGTGTTGTGGTAAGTACCACAACAACAAAAAATTAGCCTGGGATTGTGCGGCACGTTGACCGCTGTGAAACAGCACCAAAAAAACGTCAAATTTCAAGTTTTTTTGGGCAGTAACACAAAAAATGTTGTTGTGGCCCAAAAAAACTCAAAATTGACACATCTTGTTGCGCAGCAGGTCAGGCCCCAACTTTGAAATGGATTTTATGGTGTGGTGCGGTCAGAAAAACCGCAACGCAAGCGCAACACAGCACACAACACCTACGTTGCTGGCCCAGGGTTGGTATCTGCCTATATTAAAGTATTCAAATAAGATGATCCTGCTAGAGCCTCAAGCAAACTCAAAACCCACCACAAACACTTCTGCCAGTTGATGATGTACTTGTATCAAGAAGAATAGGAATATGGTGGATGTGTGTTAGGACCCGGCTTCAGGGGGTCTGGGTGTGTGGCAAAGGGAGAGGGTGTGCTGAGCTATGATAATGATTGTGAGCCTACTAGTGTGGGTTAGGCTAGTAGAGTCAATAAAAAAATTGGTGAAGGTCGAATATCTTCTACTAAAGTCGTGTAGATCAAGATCTAGAAGTATGAACAGGTAGAGATGTGGGCGTAAGAGCTTTACTTGCAATAAACAAGTAAAGCCTACAGTTAGTTGACCTTAAACATAGGCTAAAGCCTGGGTATTTTGTG